GGGGTTCAAGAAATATCTGTTACTTTATCGTTCCCTTTCTTACTTTAAGTCCCAAGTCAAATGAATACAATCCAATTTGGATATGCTTACTTCGGTCAGACCTGGTTTTACTTAGGATATTAGTAATGGTGAAACCTTCAGTTATGTATTATGTCTTATTTATAGTAATTTTTATATTTTGATCAGATAATGAATGGATTTTCAAGAAAATCTCAAGCTTTAAATTGGCAGAGACAATAGAGATTGACCTTATATAGTCCTTTAATGATTTAAAAAAAAGATGTCATTTTTCTTTTTGGCAAACTGGACAGATCAAAAGGGTTAGTCCTTTCTCCAAAGAGTCAAAGTCTTCCCCAAGGAGAAATTAGAATACTTTTGGTTTCAAAAATAATTTCTAAGAACACTGGAAAGGAAATAACAGACTGATCTACTTCCATGTTTTTTTTTTTTATCTTTCCTTAGCCTGACATTAAAACTTGTCTTATTGTTTTTCCATTTCCACATTTTATATGAAGATCAATATGCCTAAATAGTTTAGCCTTAGGTGATATATACTAAAGATCCCCGTGTCCTCATCATAGGGTCTCTGAGATCGAGTAACTATAATGCGGGAAAATTTAACAACATAGCAAAAGTATCCAGGAGGACAGCTTGTACATACTTAGCTTTGCCAAATAGCATATTCTTTCATTTCAAAATTACATTAGCTTCCATTTATCACCTCCAATTGACTTTAGTAAAGTAAGGAAACATACTATGCCTGAGTATGAGTCTCCCATGTTTCTCCAAGAAAGAATAGAATAAATTTCGTCCATCATGACACTTCACAAAGTTTAACATAGGAAGTACAGCTCCCCCAAGTATTGTTGTGCCAAATATTTCTTCCATGAACATTAGAGGGAAACATATTGCTTTTATATACAAAAAACTACATATAATATGCGTGATATAAAATCATTCCTTTTAAATGCTGCCTTTGAAAGTTGTAGAAAAGCTAGATTTTAAGAAAAAATACTCTTAAGCTATTTTTGCTAAAAAAAAAAAACTCTCCTCTAAACCATTTTTTGAAGACCTAATCTCCTGCAACACAAGCAATGTTTACAATTTAAAACATGCATCAACTTGACCAATTCTTTCACTTAATTGTCATTCAAAATTTACTCAAGGAAGAATTTATTGTAATGGTAATATTGACCAAAGACAGAAATAGGATTTAATAGAGAAGAATCCAAAGATCATCAATCAAAAGATTATAAATTAGACTAATGTAGACAAGAAGACATGCCACTGAATTAAGGAAATTTAGCCTAATCCTATCCCATTCAAACAATCAGACCAAAGGATATTCAATGCAGTTATTTTACTTATCTAAACAACTGAAGCAAAAGTTAAGAGTCAGTTCTGCTTTGGCCTTCAACATCCATCTAGATAAAGGAAATGAACTGATCCTCAACAAATAACCAATTCAGCATCCACTGGGGTAGACATTGGGGATATAGGCCCAATTCAATAGGCATATGAAGTTATACCGAGTATATGCAAGGCATTAGAGACAGTTTAATTTAGTAGTCACTGTCATTTTCAGTCCTGTCTGACTCTTTGTGACCTATTTGGGGTTTTCTTGGCGAAGATACTGAAGTGGTTTGCCATTTTCCCCCTTAGTTCATTTTACAAATGAGGAAACTGAAGCAAACAGGGTTAAGTGGCTATTAAGTGTCTGAGGCCAGATTTTAACTCAGGAAAATGATCTTTCCTAATTGCAGACAGAGCACTCTATCCAATGTGCCACCTAGTTGCCCTGGTCTAGTGGAGAGAGAGCCAAAATCTTCCTTTTCAGGAAAAGTTGGGTTCAAGTTCTTCCTTTGATAGATACTAGCCTTCTCACCCTGGGCAAGCCACTTAATCTCTCAGTGGCCCCAGGCATTCACTAATACAGTAAATTGCAAAATAGTAGCTGATCTGCATTCATACAGAGAGCTTTCTACACCGGGGAAACCATAGGTCTGGACCAAATATGCAAGTTACTGTGCTCGGCATTAACTCCAAAGTGAAGAGGACATATAGTCCTGTTCCTTTCTTGTCATTAACTCATTCAGTCAGTCATAGTCATAGCCACAGATTTAGAGCTGGAATGGACCTTAAAGATCATCTGGTCTGACTTTCATTTATTTTAAAAAATGAAGAAACTGAGGTCCAGAGAGCTGAAGTGACCATCCCAAAGTTATACAGATTAAAATGTGACAAATTTGGTAGGTTAATCCTGGTCCTGATTCCACTATTCTTTTCACTGTACCTAGAGCAATCCCTTCACTGAAGACCGAATGGAATTCTTCAAATTAAAAGTCAGAAAAGCAATACTTCAAAAACTAAGCTGCCACAATGACAAACCCAACTGAATCCTTCCTATATGTCATGTCAGGATTCATTTTCTCAATATATAGCTGTGATCGAGTCACTTTCCAGGTCAAAAACTCCTCCTAAATCTTTGACTTGGTATTTAGGGCATTCTCACGTTCCGGCTCCAGCTTACCTGGCCAGACCTATTTAATGCTATTGCCTCCATGCTTCAGTACATTCTCTCCCTGAACATATCCTGAATTTTTTGGCCTCCGTGCCTATGTTCATGGCATTCTCTGTCCCCAACGTTGCCTTCATCAAACATTCTAACTAGCTGAATTCACCTTATCCTTCAAGGTCCTGCTTAAACACCATTACTTTATGGTAGCTGATCCCTCCAAACCAGATATCATTCCTTTGACCTCAAAATTCTCCTAGTACCTTGTACCTCTCTAATTCACATCCATACTCTACTTTAAGAGTATAGATAATAGATCTATACTTATATAGATTTATATTTATTTATGTAGCACTTTCAAGTCAACCATGTGTCTATCCCACAGCCTACCTTGTGGTACTAATATTAACATCCCCATTTTATGGATGAGGAAACTGAGGCTCATGCAAGGTAAAAACAACTTGCTCATGGTCACAATCTAGTAAATACTCAAGACAAGACTTGATCCCATGTTTTCTGACTCCAAATCCAGTGTTCAACGTACTCATTGAACTGTTCTGTCTCTTTTTGCACTGCATTTGTTTGTAGACAAACCTCAAATATTACCCTATTACAAGCTCCTCTATGACAAAGATTGAGGTGTACAGTGCTTAGCACATGACAATACTCAATAAATGTCCCTTGAAGTAACTGCAAATTTAAATTCTCTTTTTTAAGTTACATCCACAAAATGCAAAGGCAACTGAAATGTGACCAAAAAGGGTCACTTACACTTGAGAGAATGAATAAATAATAGGTTCACCACAAATGGGAACTGAAGTATTACCCCTGTCTGTACTGAACATTTAGTTTTTGAAACTCAGATTTGCTGATCTCATTAAGCCTAAATTGTTTATACAGAATTCAAAGAATCATAGGAATCAAAGAACCTCAAAAGGTTCTCCTCCTCCCAGCTCTAAGTTATCCAGTACGGATGATCATCTATTTTATTCTTGAGATCTCTAGGGAGGAAGAAGATGCCAGACCTCCCTCAATAATGTATTTCAAAGTTTCAAAGACCTTCAGTCATGACATTCTTTTTCATTTTTTGACATTCATCTTTCTGCCTTCATTTCAAGTCCCTGTGTCTTGTTCTGTCCTCAGTAGAGATGGGGAACATCTGGTTACCATCACTCTGATAACAACTCTCATCCCACTTATGCTACTGCTTATTTGTTTCTAAGAATACAATCATATGCTTTTCAAACATTACATTTCAGAGCAATTTGTAAATATGTTATTAGTTTATAAGTCTTTGTTATTCAAGTTATTTTGGAATAACTTGAACATCTTTTGAGCAGCAAACCCAATTACATAGATTTGTATGCACCACAGGTTAAGACATGTCTCTTTACACATAGATAACATGCTGTAAAAACTTGCTATTAGGTTTCCACCTAATGTTAATCTGACCCTGTAGAATATCCATATTTATGTTTGGAATAGTAATAGAGGAGTTGCCCTATATTTGTGTTCGAGATCTTTTATTGTACATTTGTTTGTATTATTTGAGGAATAAATCACAAAAATATTTTTTAAAAAAAAACAGCTTCAAGATAACTAGGTTGAACACATTCCAACAAGGTATTTTGGTACCATGTTCTGGGCCTTGATCTTTGAGAATAGGAACATGGCCCAATTCCCTTACATGTAAGGATTCAGTTTTATATCTGTACTAAATAATGAAGTTTGAAGACAGTTTTTGAAGGGAAAAGGGACTTGTTTTGCCTAGCCTGAGAGTGCAGAATGAAGTATAATGGGTAGAAGTTGGAGAATGTAAAATTAGGCTCAACATAAAGTAAATTTCCTAATAATCCAAAGTGGAAAGGGCTACCTCGGGAGATGATTTGTTCTCTCTGACTGGAAGTGATCGGTCAAAGTCTAGGTGACTAATTGTTGGGTATAATGTATCCAATGAGATCACGTAGCTATGAAATTCAGCTTGATTCTGTAAACTCAATGGATTAAAGTAGATTTAAATCCAGAATATTAAGTTTAGAATTCTAATTTTTTTTCTATCACTGGGCTAACTATGGAAGTTAACATTAAATTGAGATTAATGGGAAACTGGCCCAGAGGTAGAGAATGCACAACAGATCTTTAGGGTACCAAGGCTCAATATTTATTTCAAAAATAAATTGTTGTAACAACATAAAAATCCACATCTCAGAAGATTTCTTAGTTATGATCTAACAGAAAATAAATGGTATATTGACTGATTATGATAGTTTAATTCCAATACAATGGGAATGTTTCAAAAACATTCCCTGTGTGTTTCAGTGTATAACATTTTATTATCTACTTTGGAATTGATTTTGATGAAAATTTGGTCATAGCACCAATAATAGTTGTTGTAGCCTAATTACAGTTTCTAAAATGAGTTCCCAATAAAAAGGTGCTTACTTTACTGTTCACAAATCATCTACAAGTTATCCATTTGACTTACTTTTAACAGACTTCAACGTCTTCTGGAGGCATGTGGCAGTCAAGAATTATACTTTGTCAACAAGGTACTTTCCACTGTTGAAAATAGTCCATTTTTGCCACAATAAAATGTGTGGTGTGATAGCACAACCCCTGAGAATTCTGAAAAGGGGGAAAAAAGATAAGAGACAAAACTAAATTAACATGAAACACTATAATCAAGAATAATTCTGAAAATTAAAAATAGAATAAAAAATCTGTTGGCATTAAGATGAAGAATTTATCAACTCCCCTTCTCCCCTAAAAGAGTCCTTTTATTTTTAAATTGATCCAGATGTCAAAAGGTATCAGCTGTTTAAATGTTAAATGCCTGTTAAAATGTAGAAACTTATTCAAGTGATTCTATTGTTCAGAGTCACACTCAATGAATCTTGTTGAAAGGGATTCAGGCCCCTAAAGAAATCAAATTCTTCTGTTACAATATTTTATAAAGCATATACAATACAAGGATTAAAAACATATTTCAGACTAAGTGAACACACATTCCATATTGAGAACTATTGAACACAATAACTCTTCTTTCTAGGACTAGTTCATATAACCATTATTCCTGAAGGCAAGTTTTAATATACTGGTTATACCAGAAGCATTAAGAGGTAGCAGGCCACAATGGAAAGTACTGTACTTGGAGCCTGCAGAACAGCCCTTCACATAGTGCCTGGCATACAGGAAATGCTTAATAAAGACTTGCTGATTAACTGGTTGACTTCAAATCTTTGCTTTGTTACAGACAAGTAACAGTGGGCAAATCACTATAATTTCCTGGGCCTAAATGTCCTCATCTGTAAGATGAGGGAATTGTACTAGATAATCTCTAAGGTCCTATCTAGCTCTAAACTTATGTTCCTATTTATGTAAAAGAAAATGTTTCTTATAGAGTGGGAACCCAACAGGGCAGGAAAGCAAGAGAGGGAAATGTAGCTTAGAAGGAACAATCATTCTAAAATAAATAGGGCTCTTTTTTGAGATTGGGGGAAGGGCAATAGAGAATAAATGAGGATCTACCTCAAAGGCTAACTGTCTGGACCTGGAGTTAACTCAGGTTCTCAGCAATGTATTCTATTTCTTCTACAATAAAATACATATACTTCTTTTTGGCATTTAAAGGTTTTGACAATCTGGTCCCATGTGTCGTATGCATTACTCCCCATCTGGGCTACGTGTTAGTATGTTTCTTATGTAAGACATCCCACCTCTGCCTCCATTCCTTTACATATATTATCTATTCCTTGAATTCACTTTCTCTTGAAATCCTTGGAATTCCTAGTTTCCTCCAAGGCTCTACCTAAATACTATCTCCTAAATTAGTATCCTCTTCCACTGAAATTACCTTGCATTTATTTTGAGTTTACTTATTTGAGCACACATTGTTTTCCTCCAAAGGAATGTAAGATTTGAAGGTAAGACTTGTTTCATTTTTGTTTTTTGTATCTCCAGTGCTTGGCAATACTGGGAACTTGTTCAATGATAGAAATAATGGATTTTTATCAACAGGTTTCAGAGAACCTTTTGGAAGAGATAACCTAGGGATCAAGTACAATCAAGCAACTGGCCAACAGCAGTTGAATGGTTAATTGTGGACAAGGCATTATAGGAGATACAAATATGAATAAGGTCTAGTCTAGTCTCTGCCTTAAAGGGGCTTTTTATCTAGGTAAGAAAATAAAACACATACATGAAAAGATTGACTGTTTTGCAATTAAGAGGTGTTCAATAAAGTTTTAATTCTGACAAGTCATTAAGTATGGTTAAGAATAAAGATGGAACATTGTGGATGGGGTACTCAAGTAAATGTTCAAGGAGGGAGGTAAAGGAAATAAGGTTGGAAAGGAAAATTGGGATCAGATTGTGGAGGGCCTTCTGGAATCAGGTATAAACCAAGATTTTCTCTTCTGGTGCCAGCAATAATCATCCCAGGAACAATATACAGTAGTGCTTTCATTCTTTGAAAGTTTTGTTATTGTGAATAAGTTAATAAAAACAGGACTGCCTTCAGATAGGTAACTATTCTCCCATTTGACAGGTTTGAGAGCTGAGAAGTGGAGAAGATCAGTGACATGCCCTGGCCACATCACAAACCAGTTGGTAGGGAGAAATTACTGACCTAGCCTCTGCAGATTATGTGACATCTTCCTGTGTCTCTAACTCTTAATTACACAGAGCCTTGAATGGAATCTGTGGCAGAGCTATAAGTAGAAATACTTTTACCTGAGAAAAACAGTTGGAGGAGGATGACTGTGTAGAAAATAATCCAATGTGAGGGGAAAGGGTGGCAACACAGAAGATGTGTACTTGAATCAGGAGAGGAAGTGACCCATCACCCATGGGGCTTAGCAAGGAAGAAGGACCCTAGGAAAAGGGAACCATGATGACTGGACCCTAGGAGTAGCAGTCTGGGCTAGGGCAAAGACCATAAGACAACAACCAGGAGAAGGAGTCTTCCTCATGTGTGTGTCCAAGGGCAGCCTCAGTCACTCTTCCCTAGTTTCAGTTCTAACCTGCTCCATGTTAGATTCATTAACCTAGAAAACTGAATTCTTTCTTATTGGCTATAAGAGGGGGTTGACAATAAATGGTACATGAAAACAAAATTCAGGATGGCTCTTCTATCCTGTCTCCCAGTTTCCACTTTTAATGAAAATGCATACAATTCAGTTCATGCCAAGGCCCTTAGGAGAGTGGTGAGATCCTGTCTTTTGTCAGAACTGAACTACCTAGAATCACATATCACTGATGGAGCATAGGTGAGTAATACAAATGTTACAATGAAGCAGGAAGGAAAACAGGCAGGGAACTGCCAACAGAATGATTAATTCCAAGCACTGAGAAAGTATTGACTGAGATCATGGCAGCCTTTCCCCAAAGGCTGAGGCTATTGTAGCTCGTATAAGTAGCTGGCAGCCATTAGGAACATCTAAAACCACGTGTGAAGGGCAGATGGAGGGAGACGAGGTCTGTTAGTTAAGGACTGTGGAAAGAAACAGGCAGGTGTGGGATATCACAGGTAATCATTACACAACTTGCTGGCCATTCTGGTGGTAGCTGAGCAATGACATGCTGGATGACCTCCCCATGAAGTATGCCCTAAATCATATTTACCCACTCCTGGTCTTGACCAGTTCCTAGCTAGTCCTTGCTCCACTGGGCTTGAAAATCAGTGGAAAGAGCACTTGATTTACAGACTGAAGATTAAAGGTTGGAATCTTGGCTCTGCCTCTAATGCCAGCTATGTGATTTTGAGCTACAACACTTAAGCCCTAAGCTTTGGTTTCCTTATCTACAATAACTCTACGATTTCTATTGAGCATTAAGGTTTATAAAGCTCTTTCTTCAATAGCAACCCCCTAAGAAAGACATTCTCCACAAAGTCCATTTGCTCATGGTCACATAGGAAAACTCAGTTTTGGAACCAGGATTTGAACTCCTATCTGCTGCCAAGTTCAGCCCTCTTTCCACTACCCCACTTTGTACCTATCTTGCCTAGCCAATCAATAGGATTATGGTTAGACTGAAAAGAAATATGTAAAATATAAGTGGAAAACATATGAAAGGACTTTGAGAGCCATAAAGTACATTAAACATACGGCACAATCATTTTTTGTTAGTACCGAGAAAGAGAGGAAAGAGGGAGGGAGACAGAAAGAGAGAGAGATAGAGAGAGAGAGAGAGAGAGAGAGAGAGAGAGAGAGAGAGAGAGAGAGGAGAAAAAGCAGACATTTATCCAAGAAGCTGCATTCTTTATGGGGGCCTCATCAACCTTATATCTAGTGGCTGAGGATTCTAGTTAGATTCCTGGGCTGCCTTATGGAGAATCTGTCTGTGCCCCAGGACACAGAGGTCATTGGCAGTCCTTCACATTTGTCTTCCCTGCTTTTCTAGTTAGTAAAGCACATAACTTCAACTTTCCTTTTTTTGTGCTGAGCTCCTGAAAAATAGGCAAAGGACTGGCTTTCAGCTCTAAGAACTTTAGCTATAGCCAGCCCTAATGCAGGTAGTGTTAAGGGCCAAAGCACATGGGGTAGGAATGAGGAGACCTGGGTTCTTGACTTGGCTCAGCCATTGGGCAATTGTGAGAATTTGGGCAAGTCATTTCAGACTTCTGGGACTCAGTTTTCTCATCAGTCAAATGCTAGGGTGGAATGAGGTCTTGAATGCACTCACTAGTTCCACAGGATTCTAGGACTCTTGGATGAGGCAATATGGTCTGGCATTATGGAGGCAGAACACAGTGGAAAGACCATTGATTCTAGAGTCAGAGGGTTAAACAAGGGTTAAAATTCAGACTCTGATACTTACTGTCCATAAAACTGTATACAATTCACCTAACTTCTCTAGAGTCTCAGTTTCTTCAGATAACAGCTAAAATTCATGTAGCGCTTAAAGGTTTGTTAAGTACTTTAGATATAGTATTTCCCTTCATGCTCACAGCAATCCCATGAGAAATGTAGTATTACCATACCCATCTTACAGATGAGGAAACTGAGATCCAAAGCATTAATCTAACATACCCAGGGTCACATGCCTAGCAAGTGTATGAGGCAGATTTTTAATTCAGGTCTTCCTGAGTACAAGTCTAGCACTTTATCCCCTATGTCACCTAATTACCTCATTTGTAAAATGAGGGGCATGGGTGAATTGGCTTCTGAGGATCCTTCCAGCTCTAGAGATGTAATCATATAATACAAATGAGATGTCAAGCTTCAGCCCAAAAGTGGGGCTGGGGAAGTCTCACCACCAACCAGGCTAACTCAGTACCCCCATGAATATTGTAGTTAACTTTTAACAATACAAAAACCCAAACAGAATAGTCTGGTATCATCAATGCCAATCAGCTCCCTGAAGACACTCACTTTGTAAAATAATAATACTTCCTTCGTGAAAACTACTAAACAGCCATGATTTTAATGGTGTGAGGACTTTGCTCCATGAAAGAAGAAGGTTGGATGAATTTCTATGACCAAAACCATTCATTGCTGGTGGCCAATCTGGTGAACATCTCTGCACTTAATAGACTCAGTGTGGATAATGGATAACTAATTCCCTTATTAGGATTGTAATGATCACTTCTACTATATAATAAATAGGCTATGGTGGAGAGGAGA